AAGAGAACATTCAGATGATGGCTAGATAGCATTCATGTGCTGAGAAGAGAACATTCAGATGATGGCTAGATAGCATTCATGTGGTGACAAGAGAACATTCAGATGATGGCTAGACAGAATTCAGATGGTGACTAGAAAACATTTAGATGATGGCTAGATAGCATTTAGATGATTGCTAGATAGCATTTATGTGGTGACAAGACAGCATTCAGGTGCTTACAAGATAGCATTCAGACAGTTCTATATAGCATTCAGAGGGCACTATGATGATGTGGTGGTAGGTAACATTTGGAAAATTGCTAGGCAACATTTCAGTGAAAAAATGAATCATTGACAATAACAAAATTTGATTTCCACATTTCACAAAACATCACGTATTTTATTCATTCTCTCACCAAATTACAAGTGTGTACATAATATTCTGAAGACACAATTGACAATACATCATTTGTCCCATCTGGTGAATGAATGATCATGCTGAATCTTGTGTTCACAAAGAAATTGTCTACTAAACACCAAAAAAAAAAGATAACTGAACCAAAACTTCACGCTGGTTATAGTATTTACATTGTCGTGGTAAATGGAATTAAAAATAGTAATCACACTGTACAAATTTATACAAATTAGAAAAAAAAATCACAAAACGTAATCACAATTGACCTCACTCTTAAAAAAAAACAATGTTCTTAGCAACTCAAAGTCATTATTCTGATTTTAATATCCAGCTTAAATACATTGCACTTTATATATGGTTGCTGTTTTCTCACACTCTTGATAATACTCAATACAAAAGTATTCTTTCTGTATATTGATTACATATACAGGCTTTGTGTTATTTTCCATACATAACACCTGCACCTCAATGGTCATTTATATCAACAAACATCTTAATACAAAATGTTCTGGACATTATTCTGGTTCAGATTGTTGACATAGTAAAATTAAAACATTCTAGAAAGCTGACAGATGAAACCAATAATGAACATGATATTTTTGCACATTCAGTAAATAAATCTTGAATATTAAAACATGTACAGTTGACAACCATGGTAATCTTGTTTTAATGCATCATTCATGAAAATAATTCGGCTTTTAATAGTTTTTTTTAAGGGAATGTGCAATTTAACCCAATGACTCCCTCAAGCTTCAGCTACAGCTTGGTATTCCACTCACACCATCAAGATGTTTCAGAGCAATATACTAAAAGAATTCTGAGGGTAAAAACTAGATTCCTTTTTGAAAAAGGCACTTAAAGATTACTTAAGTTCAATGCAATCTGTTCTTACCATAATTCTGGGGTCCGCAGAAAATAAAAGGCTTTACACTAACCATGACGTTTCAGTCACAAAACATCTTGGGAAGTATCCAATGAGTAGTGGCATTCAACACAATGTGTTGCAGTATTCCAAGCTTTGGATAAGTAGATATATTCACACATATACCCTGGGACATTTGAATAGTAGTGACTTAACTGATAAGTAGAGACAACTCTACACATACCCTAGCAAATTGTGATAGTGGTGGCTTTCAACAGGCTTCAGACAAGTAGAGAACCCACACATTGTTCCTAGGACATTGGAAAACTAGTGCCATCCATACAAACATCCTTGGACATTGTGATAGTAGTTGCACTCATCATAGTACCTGGGGCTTCTGAATCCATAAACATACCCTAGGATACTTTGATAGTATTGGCTTTCAACATAGTCCCTTGGGCTTCAGACAAGTCGAGGCAAAAATAGTCCCTTGGACTTCAGACAAGTAGAGGCAATCATATAGAGATGCTGAGGCATTGGGAAACTGGTACCCATACACAAACACTGGGACATTGTGATAGGAATTGCTTTCATCAGTCCAAGAGGCATTAGACAAGTAGAGGCACTCGTACAGAGACCCTATTACATTTTGATAGCAGTAGCTTTCAACATAGTGGTCATTGGAAGTGTGGTGATACCTAGACAGAGTCCATGGATCTTCAGATAAATAGAGCTACAGTTCCTGGGATGCTGCAAGAGTGGTGGTACTCATACAGAGACCCTGGGCCTGCAGAAAGATGAATATACTAACTCAAACATGGGAGCTTAGTGACATTCAATAGTGGCATTCAGCTCAGTTTCAGATAAATAGTAACATGCATAGACGATTTCCAGAACATTGAGTGCACATTTCACAGCATGTAGGGATACATCATGATACTTGGATAGTTTCCTGAGAAAGAAAGGTTTTATTGGCACCCAAAGTCAAAGGATTTTCACTCACAAAAGAACCCAATCTTATGAGAATTAAAGAACAGATTTGCACAATTTTAGTGATTTGTATGGTCGTTTCCTTAGTGACTATTTACATAATTCAAAACATTAGGGATGGGGGAGTAATATAAAACAAAATTAAAAAAAAAGTCAGAAATTAAAATATTGTTCCCGCTGTAAATTGTTGTACTTTAAAGAAAAAGTTTTTTAAACATTATCTGTAAATCTGCTCTTAAAATCCAAGCAGAAAAATTGTACTTCATTAAAAGAAGACTATTTTTCTTCCCCATCGCCTCTACCAAATACTAGTCAATACATACTTCCTGTGGTCAGAATACATTTGTAACTCACTTATTCACAGACACTTAGGGGGCTCATCATGACATATGCAAAATGAACACCTGGGTTTTACTAGCATTGTGCAATCGCAGCACAGGACACAACATACATTGTTTCATCCAGAACTCACTTATTAAATATCAGGGCTGGTAATCTTAACTTTTTCATGGAATTTTAACTCTGTGAAAACACAAGTTTTATTGTTCTTATCAAATTCTCAGTATTCTAGTCATTTGTTTGTTCGATAATTTCAAAACCAAACAGAAGAAATAGTCTTTTCTGCCTGTAAGCATAACTCATGGAAAAACAGATATTGCAATTATATAAGACAGGTTTTGATTGGTTGCCAAACCCAATAAACAAGCAATGCAAAGTTTGGATAGCCAATCAATGACAATATTGTATACTATATAAAAGATATTGAAGAATGCTGGTGATGAAAATAAATGTTAGAAACAGCATTCCAGGTTAACAATTTGCATATATGTAAATAAGCTCTTTTACAATACAGTGTGAGAACATATGTACACCAGTTAAGACTTGCAAATCAAAATCCAAGTCACATTGACTAGCTAATTGAGAATCCAGTCACAATAATGAAGCATTTCAAATCTGGCAATGCTAAGAATGATACATGGCATAGGACTTGATTGAAGTGCATTACATCAATTCCAATTTGTCGATCACACTCACGCAGATAAATATGCCAATTGGGAACATAGTTAATTTACATGTAAGAATATTTCTCACCGCCCTCGTGAGAAAATCAGTGATATGAATACAATTCTGAGAATTCCCTTTCTGTACACAACTAGCCATGAAAAGGCTGGTAAAAAATAGAAACAGAAGTGTCAATTATGCTGTCGCTAATCAGAATCACGTAGGTGACATCTTCACTGACATGAGTGAGCCACCACATTGCCGATAAACCATTTACTGAATATTGCAAACTTTCTTAAAATCTGATTCAAACTCGTCATCAATACTGCTCGTATCTGGTTCTTTGTCGGAGACATCAGGAAGGAAATCAGAGTAATTTAGTCCCTGTCTTTCATAGAACAGCATGTAAGCATTGTCTGTATCGATTAGTTCTTCCTTAATTTCCTGGGAAAAATAAACACAGTGTGTGAGAAATCAAAGATGTGCTGTTAGGTATGTCAAGAAACTGTGTTTTCTAACAATTTACAGTTTATTGCCACAATTTTTGTGATAATGCTTAGAATGCAAATTGACTTGTGATTGGTTAATTCCAGATGTTATGTAAACTGTAAACAGCCAATGGGAGACAGTGTAACATGTTACTCACTTTGCAGGTACTGTCATTGTAAATATACCAGTTGTCATTTGGGTTGATAGCATAAGCGACATAATGCCCACCACCAAGGATTCCAGTATGGCACTGTAAAAATAAATAAAAGTTTCAAGTTAAGAATACAATTAGGTTCCATTTTTCTGCATATATATATCGGTACTGTAAAATATTTTATTTTTGCTATTTTCGCTGAAGGAATGATTGAGTGAAAATAAAATCCAGCGAATATACCTTTTTTTCTTATATTTTACATACAACACATCAGAAATCAGTGAAAATAATTTCCATACAAAAAGTCTTTTCAGCGAAAATTAATTCCAGCTAAATAAAAGTATTTTACAGTATATTGTCCATCTTTAAGGTTGTTCAATACAGTTTCCTGAACGTGGATAAGAAAATATTCTATAAATATTGTATCAGCAGCAGAGTGCGAATTACTAAAAAACAGCTGTATCTTTACAAATACTTCCCTAAAAGCATTTTTTTATTTTTCAAATGTGTTTTAAAAATTTGCCAAGGAAGGTTTTACTTTTTTCCTTGTAAAGTTCAAAGTATTAACACCGACGAAACTTAACATTGTAATCTGCATGAAGTAATAAAATATCACTATAAAATTTGATCCAAAATTTCTGACTTGTACACTGTTTCAAAATATGGATTCTGATGTGAGATGACGACACGAGTGCAAACGTGGTAGAAACCATGGCAGTGTGTTCTTTTGTTTTAATTTTTATATTCATCCAATTAGAAGCTTCCCCACTAATTTTCAATGTATATCAAGGGCATGCTGCAAGTTCTGTGTCATTCTTACAATTTGTGTTATATCACGTTGTAAGTCTCCAGATTGCCAGCAGGCTTTCTGTTAGTAAATAAAACCTGAGTTTATTACAAATCTTTCTACTGTGGTGATTGGTGCTGCTTGTGTAACAGATAATTTTGCATACTAATTTGTCGTTAGTTTGTATAATCGCAACGTATCGTCCCCCACATATGACCTTGTAGAACAGTAAAATATGAAAAAAATATCCAAAGACATTTACGAAACTGTACTGAGTAGCCTTTCTCATCATTTGACTGCTGCACTGTCGGTAATAAGGAAAGAGCAGAGAAATAATAAGCCCGATACTTACAGACAGAGAATACAGGTTGTAAATAGGTTTACTGAGATCTTCAATATCAGTATTTCCAGCTGCAACTGGCAACAATGAACTGTCCAGAGGGTGGGACGCCGTAGGACTCAATGTCTTACTGTCTGATGTATTGTCTGTTTTTTCAGAATTTAGGGAATTTGTACTCAAAGTACTGCTTCCGTTTGATTGTTGGCTAATGTTGCTTGCAGTGCTGCCCCGCCCATTTACAACTTCTAGACTGTCCCTGCTACTCTTTTTCGGTGGGAGCGGGCTCACAGAGTTGTGTTTCCTTGTTGGCAAAGGACTGATGGAATTTTTTCGTATCCGCTTCGTCTTTGGTGAATCTTTGCACAGTTTGTTCTTGACATTTTCAGCGCTACCTTTCGTATTATCGATTTTGACAGCTGACAAGCTGCTTGTGTTGGTTTCAGAGTTCACTTTATTCGATTCAGACAGTTCATCATCTACCGTCTGCACTGCGATTCCGTTCGGCACTGGCTGCTTCATGATTGGTGTGTTCTTGCATGAGGGTATTGTAAGATCAGTTGGGGCATTTTTAGCTATAAAACGACTTGGATCGAATTTTCTCTTGGGAAATTTGACAATCTTCTGCGACTTCACCCATCGTCCATTCACATATTGGAATCTTTTCATTTGAATAATCTACAAATAGTTATAAAAAAAAACATGTGTAAATTCGTGAAGTACCAGAATGTGTGACCTTTGACCACACATATACAATGTATGGTCACATATCTTGGTACTTTACACATGCAGTAATATGAGGTTATTACGAGGATATCGCAAAGTATGCATGAAGACCGTAGTTTCAAATTTGCATTTTCTAATATGGTAGGATGAAAATATCCAGTGCAATACCACAAATATACGGCACACTGTAACTTATGGCATGACAATGACAGATGTATAATAATAAACAATACTGAAGACACAAATAGAGAAGGTACATTCAAAAATACATACAGCTGTTTAGGTAAGGACACCATGAATATAATATTTCTGTGTATTTGTGTAAATGAGTGCATATTATCCTGCTGTGCACACATTGTTTTTATCGCAACAGCATTTTTTTTAGAACACCATTTTGTTCTTCCCAGACCTGGCATGCTATCAAAAATATCTACAAAAGAATGCGTTGTTGTTGATGACAATCTTTTTCTCACTGCAGCTGCTGTGAGGCAAAAGATCGTTGATGGATTGTGTGTGTGGCAAAAGGTGAGAAAACAAGACGTCTTTCACCAACAAGTTAAAGAGCAATATTTTAAAAAGGAATTGAGAGCCAAGGCATGGTGTCAACAATATCTAAAAATGAATGATGAATCTACGTCACTTTCATGGTCCGCAATTGCTGTGTTAGTGAAAAGATTTTTCTGATCGTGATTGATACATTCACGCTCACACAATTTGTGTTAATGGAGGGCACACCGCTAATTATACATAAAAAGTGATTTTTACCCATAATGCATTAATGATCTCGCATCACGCATATATCGAGTCCAAACTTAGCTGCGGTGCAACATTTGTGTTGATAAACATTAATTTTCCCACAATCCAATGCGCTCTTCTAATGAAAATCACAAATGCGAGTTTTGACCTGGGCGCGACTAGCACTAATTACCGCCAGTGACTCCTTCGATACCTTCACCTAAAAAATATCTAATTAAAGCTTCGTAACATCTCAATTTGTACTCGTTGATCTGCACAAGAGTCAAAGTCGCCATCTTTGTTTATATGAGACCCATATATCTCGCGCATGCGTGGCGTGACGACTACCGTCCTTTAAGCCGACATCAGGTTTAGGATTTTGTGTTACTATAAAATAATAAAAACAGTAAATCAAGAATTTTTCTCTTTGGATCAACAAAACTTACTGATTATCATTTTAGTAAATCTTGTTTATTTATTAGTATCTGTTACCATTTATTTTTACATATTCTACACACGACAAGCTATGTATATTAATCGCATCTTTGTAAGTACATCATTTCATCCACAAACTCACCAGTATGGGAGGAAGCCTCCAAAGTGCTAATTTCTTGGTGGCCTGTCGATGTTCTTTGCACTTAGAGCAGAACCACAGTTCATCTTCACCGAGTTCTTCCTCTTTGGTAAAGGCTTTCAGACACGTATCTAAGTCTATCGGTTCTGTCTGGAGCTTTCGACTCACTTCTACGCTGTCATGGTCCGCAACCACCTGTAAAAGGTGCACGTATAAGAGCTTAATTATAATTAGACTATCTGCCTGCGCAGGTCATGGCATAGCAGAGCAGACATCATATAAACTACTGTAAATTACATTAATTTCGCTTCGAATTCATTTTCGCTGAAGGAATGATTCAGTGAAAATAAAATTCCAGCGAATATACCTTTTTTTTCTATATTTTACATTCAACACGTCAGAAATCACTGAAAATAAATTTCATACAAAACTCCCAAAATGTCTTTTCAGCGAAAATTAATTCCAGCTAAAATAAAGTACTTTACAGTAACACAGTTTGTTCACAATAAAATGTTCTTGCTTTTCACAAATAATCCAATGTCAGTGTAACCACTTGTTAGTGTTAGCTAAAAATACTGTATCCTTTTTTTATGAAAACTTTATCAACTATGCATTCTACATCAAAAACAATTTTGTTTTATTTCATCAAATAAACACAAGTCATTAGTCAGGCTTTCACGCTATCCAAAGCATCTATGAAACGAATTAACAATGGGATACGTACTCTTTCCTGCGATGACTGATATCTGAGATGCAGCGCTGTCGGGTCCCAGTCTATCGCAATATATGCACTGCCGACTGCAAAGTCATCGTCAACACAATCAATTTTACAACCTCGACAAAACCTAAAGAAGAGCACAAGCATAACATAATTATAAACAGACAAAATAAAACAATAAACATGATTATCACTGCATCACATTTCAGTCCAGTAAGCCTTATGACAAACTCATTCAAATCAACAATTGGGGACACATAACAATTTTATTTCTACAGATATATGTACATACACACATATTTAATACACCGATTTAATCTCGCGAGAGACAACTGTTTGTAAATTTCAAGAAAAGTAAAGAAAAGAAATAATAAAACTGTACAATATATCAGAAGAGATGCTAACTTCCAGCCTCTGATGAGATCTCACATGGAGTGAGTTTACAATTTTTTAATCATGCGACATATATAATACATTACTGAGTCTGAGCAGATTGCAAAATGTTTTTAAACTGTAAAACCACAGTCCCCTATCTCAGGTATACCAGTAATCTAACAAATTAATTTTAGTTTCTGCAAAGATGTTACTTGCACAAAAGTACAAACGACTATTCTAGATCGGTGACATGCGTCTGTCAATCAATATTTCATTGGTACTGTAGTAACATTGAATCGCAGTGACTTTTGTGAAATCTGGTTCTTACAAAAACTTAAAAATAATCAAATCGCAAACAATTTCAGTGGTGAAAAAGCATGCAGAATTTCCCAGGGAAGGTTAAATATTTTATCCAGTCTATGAATGCTGATGAATTCCTGTGTTTATTTTTATCCTCGTGGTATAAAATACCCATGCTGTGGAATTAACAAACTATGCCTGGCCACAAAGCCACCAATATATTCTCAGAAGGAAATTCAGAAAAAAATTCAGATAATGTCAAGTTGATCAACCAACAGTAATAAAATTAAAATTATAAAAAAAATGCACCATAATGTATCATTCTACGAAAGCAGTAAAGTATTTCAGTAAACAAGTGAAACAATAAAAAGCAAATAATCAGGACAAAGGTAACATATGTAATGGATAGCATGTTGGAAACTCACCGATACCACGGACACCATGCGCATGTAATTCCATCTCGTTGTACAGCTTTAAGTACAAACGGATATTCATAACCCAGGCTATCATCACTGTAAACAAAACACATAAATAATGTAATACAAAGATTCCACAGACATGATATAAATAACTGTGACATCTGCTCAAGGTCACCTCGACCTAGACTATGTGGTCATTCATACATGTGGATCATAAAAACCAACACTTATGGTTCAATCACTCAAAAAAATATTATTTCAATTTTTCTTCCAATATCAATTCAATCACCTCCTAGAGAAATGTCCATTATTTATTATGCGCATATTTAATACATAAAATATTGCATTTGTTGTGTTCTTTAGTGCGACAACTACTCAAGGTCATCTCGACCTACATGTATATGATGAGGTTATTCAACGTCATACATGTAACACTTCAATAAGCCGGATTATTTTACGAGTGCTATCATTGGATTTTGTTAAAAATATAAAACCTACTTTAATAACTCAACAACCCAATTAAATGTCAATGTCAAATTAACGGAAGAATTATTGTAAAAACATATCAATGTATTTCAACTAAAATTACAGTATTTGTTTATTCTTTACTGCTATCATTTTCTTTATCAAGCTGTAGATTACAAGGACTCACTATCGATTACTGTTGTATATAGACATACATCCAAAGTCTTGTCAAAAAATCTACCGGTAATACACTGAAATTTAATATGTATGACAGAAAAAATGCTGCGTCTGCCTCATCCTGAAATTGTAGCATTTCAATCCACCCTTAATAATGATTGGAATAACCCACTCACCAGTCTTGTGCATGGTTCTTGGCACTTGCGCCATTCTCTGATGGGGGTAGTGGACTGACAAGCCTGGATACTTGGGTCCACACAGCTTTATAGAGATCGGACTGTCTGGTGGCGACGGTGCATGGTAGAATAAGTGGAGTCCCGAAAAGGCTTGGTCGTGTCTTTTGTGATGATAAAAAGTAGACGTCCATTCGCATCTATAATTATAAACAAAGTCGAATTAGCCCATTCCTGTTAATATTGAAAACTCACCCCTGAGGGCGCCCTTTGACCAAGACATTTACATGCATTTTACATGCATCAGTACAAAATTTGGCTACTGCTGAATTTTACAATCAAAATTGTGTTGAAACTATTACTAGTAAAAAAAGTGTCTGAAAATGATCCAAGCACAAGAACAACTTCCAAAAACAATAAAACCTGACAAAAAATATGTTGATTTTTGCTTTGAGAGGTGACAAAAGTAGAATTTTGTGATCAAAGGATAAAACATTAATGAAATTTAAAGTGAAGGGGTTAATTGAGTCCTTAACAATGATTAACAACAAACACTGAAATGCAAAGATTCACTACGTTCAATTACCCAACACAGAATCCGATCAGTCAAAATGACTATTTTGAACTGTACGCATTAATCAGCGATTCAGCCAATGATGGAGAGATTATATCTTAGACCACAGTCCCTCTTGTGGAGGGACTGTGCTTAGACGTAGATGCTTATTTGTAAACAACAACACGCTACGGCGATCTACTGCAGCTTTAAACAGATCGGACTGTCCAGTGACCACCATGTACAGTAGATGACAATGGCACCTTTGAATAGTGTAACTCACAAATTGGGCAATAAAGTAAACAAAAACTGGAGTAACAACAGACATATTTCTAACTATTGAAAAACATAGCCAAATACTCAGAGATTTACAAGTTCTTTATCATCAGCACAAGTTGTTTAGGCTTGATCTGCTGCATATAATGAACAACAACGAATGATTACATCATCATCATCATTACAGTAAGATTCGGTAATCGTAACAAACGCTATTCATTATTACGATCTCATGAGACGTGGAGATCGTAATGAAGTCAAATAAATTAAAATTGCAATCATGCAAAAGGGAAACCATTCTTACAATAACGATCACTTTTTGTGAAGAATTTCGTCAATAAAAAGCTGGCATACTGAAAGACGCCAACTTGGAAAAGGAGACTCACCATTTTTCTGTGCATAGCTATAACGAATCCATCAAATGCATTACCAAGGTATGGCGTGGTATGGAGTCCACCATTGCTACTACTACTAGTAGTGTTAGGTACTTTGGTGTCTGTACTACCCGTGGTGACAATACCGCCATTGACCTTCTGCGTTCTATGCAGACTGCTCGTCTTTGCCGCATAATTGAGGTCTTCTGCATTTATCTCAGGAGGTGTTAAACCATTCACTGGGGTGAGAGGTTCCACGTGAGGTTTTTGGCTGGAGTTACTTAACACTGGGGTTTTAAAACAAATGCAATGACTGATTAGAAACTAGCTATTTTGTCTGATTTGTTGTTGTTGTCTGAAAAATTATTTATAATCAATACAAGACAAGTACAAGCAGCCTGACGGCTGAGATAGCTCCGCTGTTAGCAATGCACATTTCAATGAAAGAACAGAAGATATCATTAGAAAATGAACAATATGTATAGTATCAAAGCAATGGGACTTGCTGTTTTCAACAAGAATTTAAAAATATCACTTTTCACCAAAAATGACAAAAACTTTCATCAAAATTACATAATTGAAGATATCACCACAAAATTATCAAATCTGAAAGTCGTCCACATGTAGGACCTATATATGTAATATAAAAACAATCAGACTTGCGATTTTCAACAAGAAGTCGAAAATATCACTTTTTACCAAAAATGACAAAAATATTCATCAAAATTAGAGAATTGAAAATATCATCATGAAATGAACAAATCTCAGAGTGGTCCACATGTAGTACCTATATATGTAATATCAAAGCAATTGGACTTGTAGTTTTTAACAAGAAGTCGAAAATATCACTTTTTACCAAAAATGACAAAAATATTCACC